GCGTTTTGAATCCATCAGGATACGAATTGTATTGGTGTCTATGGTCAGTAGTTGTGAGGATTCTTTAGAGTAGGCGATGAGAGTAAATGTACTCAGTTGTAGTAATTTGCTTCACCACTAGAGGGACAGACTAACTGGCGGAACGTCGGACTTTCTCGCTAGTGCTCGCTAAGGTTTCTGTTACTATATATACAAGTTCCAACTTGAGTGTAATTGTTGTAATCATATAATAAATTCCTGTGTCCACAACTCATGGTACGTAGGAACTGCAGCCTTCACGTCATCATAAACGCTTAATCTATGTAAAATTGATACAGGTTGCAGTGAAACCTTCTCACAATGCAAATTACCGAAAAAAAATGTCTACCTGACAAGTGTAGGTAGCCTAACTGACGAGTCCACTAGAAGGTCCAGGACTTATTCCCCCCCCTTCCATAACCAACTGTCAAAGCACATCTCTAAGTACACCTGCCATTAAAACCGAAGTAAAGATGAAACACTCAAAGCGTGACGAATTCTTCTTACACCTGAGGGGTTGTTAACCCCTCTCCGCCTCGATCGAACGATCCTCTGGTCGATAATTTCCCACTCACTCACGAGAATCAACTTACCGCTTTCGACACGCGTGTCCAACTTCCTCTGGCCAAGATCTCAGCTTCCTCCGGAGCGTTCATTAGCGGCGGAGCCCGGTCCATTAAGATCGATTATCTCGATACATAGAAATCCACACTCTATTTGGATGAGGTTGCAAAACCGAGCTACTCTCTCGCCTTGAATTCGAACGTCGCTCCCCGAGCTGTACAAGAGTAAGAGGGAGAGAGAGAGTGTGATAGCCGTGAGGAACGTATCCGGAGCAAGTGATGGGCCTTTACAGGGCAGTGTCGGGAAGACAAATCGCGAGTCCCGTAATTTTCCTTCGATCAAGGTCGCGCGCCACGCCACGCGTAATATACGAGGCCTGGATTCTCGATCGAAGCCGGGGATTATTTTACCCGGAATCGATTTGAATGAAACACGGGCCGCCTCGTAGCGGAGGCAGCTGGTCCAATTAGCCTGCAGACGCCGTGGAACCAGGTTTCGTGAGAGAGGAGAAGCCCTGGAACGGAACAGAAAGACAGGGGAGGCTTTTAGCGGTGGCGAAGCCGCGGTGAACAGAGAACCAGCTTACCACAAGCTTCACACTTTATTTATCTACATCTCTTTCGGTGCAACCGCACACACACGCAGCCAATGCCACAACCTACTTACGTATATGGCGCAACGGGGTGCAAATTATGCATGTTGCAAGTAGCCTTTGCTCGACCCGCGTGTCTTTTTATTGGTTGGAATATTTTAAACCGCGCATCGAAGCGGCTGCTCCATGTAAATATATGGAGATACGCGGTGCCGCGTGGTACCGTTCGGGAGAGTTCGCGCGAATATGGTGTCCATTATCGGTCGAAATTGTGGCCGTTGCGACGCGCTGCGTATCGGTAACGAGATCGTGCTAGTGTGTTCTTTTTTTTTTCTTTCAATCAATTTTTCTTTACGAAAATAAGCGTTTAACCCTCTCGATGCTAACGACTATAGTCGCCGTTCACTCACAGCGAACGACTATAGTCTGAAATCTTTACTACAGTCGCTGTTCTGAAATCTTCCACACAGAATGATATTATCAAGCAATTTTATCAAGTGCTATTACCTACTATATAACGTGTTAAAGTATGATTTCTTCCCGCCAATTCATTACATCGTGTTGAGGATTAGAAGCAACGGAGAAATTCTCACCGGTTTTCCTTTTATGCGCGGAATGAGTCTTGTGTCGACGTCGTTACAGATACATGTACAGAACATCGTTGCGCGTACCTCGTAAAGTATCGATTAACTAAATGAAACGATATAAATTATAACACATTGTAGGGTAAAATTGAGCTGCTACGCTCCTTATCCAATGAAAAGTGGTGTTCACGTCGTAGCTGTCCCGTTCAATGATAAAACTGTCCCTTCAACGGTGCTACAGTTGCCAAAGACGAAGCCGTACCGAAAGGGTTAACAATCCCCTATACTTCAAAATCAGAGAATCACCTGACAATTTCACCGAGAGAAGGTCCATGCATCTCGCGACACTTTCAAGTATGCGCTCCAGTCGGTTCGAAGGAGAACGTATGCGGCCAAGGCGGACATTAGCGTGGCACCGGCATAAATTTGTACGCGACCGATACAGGTCTGGTGCACCACCATCCGGCCGTACCTTTTCTCTTCCTGTTTCTGCCGCCTTGGTATATACGTTGGTCCACAGAGCAGACGCATAAGTCTTCCGTCTGTGACCGCGAGGACACCATGTGTGTATGTGTAGGAGATCGTGGCGGAACATTTTCCGCGCGCAAACCGCGTCGCGCGATCCAGCTTTCACGGGGACGCAACCGCGTTTGCTGTTTCCAAGAGGTTGTTAAGCACGCATTTGGTTCGGGTTGTTGCCGAGCTCCACGCATAAATACGTGTAAGCAGCGCGTGTTAACGGAGGCGCGGCGCCGGAGCGGAGCGTTTCGTGGCGCAACGTGAGCCTCGTCGAATAGTTTTCGTGTTTGCTCGTTCCAACGCAGCGACCGTAATGGCCGGAATAAATCTTCCCGTTGAGCTCTTCGCGGGGTCTGGTAATTGGTACCGCGGAATTCTACTTGTCGCGTAAATGCTGCGTATACTAATGGTCAGGTTATCGCGCGAGTTAGGCTCGTTTTTGGGAATTGATCGAGCTGGATGGACCTGCGAAGATTTAAGCAGGGAATTTTTTTTATCTAGATCTAGCGCACAGGGTGTTTCGTTTAAGTTGAATATCTGAATTGTTTCCTGTGTTGTTGAAAATGAGGAAAAATAGGAGTTTACGATCGGAAGCTGTACTTCTGGTGATGACAAAAGATAAAGTGAGTGACTAACGATAAAAGAAATTTATATGACTTGAAACAGTGCATCTATATAGTGTCGTTAGCTCGTGGATTTTTTTAAAAAACTTCTAATCTCACTTTAAGGTCGCTGAGCTCGTCGTGATGTCAGCTGTAATGTCACATTGTAAAGAAACAGATGTCACTATGCAAAAAATGACGAAAACCTGGAGAAATGACACTCGGAATGACCTTCAGAAATTTTTTTTTACCCTCAGACACACGTCTTGAAATCACATAGACTCCTCTTAGTTGCTCTTTAGTTAAGTACTCCTAACATCAGTGCAAATAATTCAGACATTCAACTCAACTGTTCCTCCGAGTGAAATAATGCTCGAAAGATTCCCCCCCGCAAGGTTCGAAAAATCGCCACGACCTCTATTCTCGCCTATCGTTATACCCCAGCCGAGCGACGGCAACATTTCTCAATTTACCACGAGTACAACTTGTCGCCGACGTTCTAAGCGGCTGTTCCCAACAGTTCCCCGAGAGGCTGCGAGCGCGGGCGATGAGACTTATGAAAGGGGCCGAAATTCCCGAAAAGATGCTTATCAGCCCGGGCCGTGGAACGTGTAACTTCCCGACAGTCGTATGTATCTTGAGAGGAAGAGAGAGAGAGAGGAGCTCGCCACGGCGGAGCTACGCCGCACAACGTCAGGGACGAGATTTAGAGGCCGCGACGGCGGACAATGCACCACACCTGCAGCACCTCGAAAAAGAAGAACGTACACCGCGAGAGAAAGGAGGACGGAAAGTGGAAGGGCTGGCGTGGAAGCAAGAGAGAGGAAGGAGAAAGAGGGACGAGTCTCACGGAGAGCTAGCCGAGAGGAAAGAAGAAGAGGAGAGACGACGCGAGGAAGAGAGAAGGAGAATTTTGTCGTCTGGACGAGAAGGGAATAGAGCTCGGTTCTCTCCTCTATGTGCACCCTGGAGAACGGAAACTGGTACCGGTAGCGCAGCGGGATAAACTCCGGAGACGTCTTAAAAGCTCCTTAACATACGTACCGGTAGAAACGAGGTACATCGTTCCGGTGAGGGAGCATGAAAAACGCTTATTCAACAAAAGGTACACAAATCAAACAGCCGTGGACCATGGACGGTTCTCCACATTGTTGCAAAGTGCCGACAACCGAGCTCCTCCTTGCCAACTCTGCTAACTCCTCGCCCTTACGACGATACTCCTGAAACGTATCGTCTGAAATGATCCATTTCGTGTAGGAGAGAAGCTTCTTAGACGAGTCTTAGAGGAGATTACTCGTTGGAGGTAACAATACCTCGACATACACGCTCTATTTCACCTCTTCGCTTCGTTACGCCCTCGAATGATCGATCGAGGATTCCCAGGAACGAGGTGGCTGCTCGCAAGCCCAGCAGCGTCCGGTCATGCGATCCTCGAAGTTGTTCGACGGTTCGATAAATCGACTTGCCTTCGTGGGACGCTCGTTCGGTGGAAAATCAATTATCCAGCTCTGGTAATCGAGGTGTTCTTGTTTCGATGGACGCTTTCGGTAGTTTGGGACTCCCGCTGACGGAGCACGCGGTGAACCGCGAGATTATCACCCGGGAGAAGGAACAGCAGAACGGGGACAGAAGGAACGAGGTATGGAGGAGTAAGGGAGAAGGAGGAGCAGGTTTTTTTATCGGGATATTAATTGAACTTTCGATATATCTTGCGCGGCGAGACATAAATCGGTAACCTTTGAGTTCCTTGTTAAACGGAATTAATTAGTAATACCTGAGACACTGAGAAGCCAGTGTGACTAACTCCGTCGTATTCAATTTATTAAATTTGTTTTATTTGTGAAGAGTTGAGCATCGAACGTGTGTTTTGGTGCTAGAATTGGAAGAATTTCGAAAAGTGGAGGTAATCATTTTGGATTCTGAGTGACTTATTTAATGCCTACGGTTGAGTTGGACATGGAATTGTATCTTTCTCTAAGCTCTAAATAACTATATTAACCCTTTCAAGCCTACGAGTCGATGTGACTATTTCAATAAATTGTTATATCTCAGGAAAACGTAGAATTTTATTAGCAAAATGACACTCGGGACAAGGTTTTTCGTTAGACGATCTTGGACTATTTAGCTCTGAGATGAATCGTCGTCCTCACTGTCGTCGGTGAATCGCGGTTCCCTGATGTGATGAGTGATCGAGCCAGATTTCTCGGTGGCTAGAACATAGGTACCACGAGGCGTCTTCTTGATTCGTCCCATGGCGACTCCAGCCTTGAGAACCTCCATCACCAGGTAGCCAGCGCGAGCGTGAGTGATCTTCATGTTCTTCAACACGTATCGCACGATATCGTCGAACGTGGCACCCTCCGCGGTCCCGTTCATTCTCGTAACGCGTTCTCTAGTTATCACGGAGACATTGGAATCAATGATGGAGAATTAGGATCTCGATCGTTTGCAATTTTAGATCTCCAAGAGTTTAGACCCTTAAGAGTAATTGCATTCGACGCGACTTTATTAATTTTCATTCCTGAATTTGGGTGGGCGAATGCTTCGAGTGAGCCGTCTACAGTCTGCTAAGAAAGTAGTTTAAGTTTTACTGGTAATTGAGATGTGGTTCCTGTCGTGCAGCTGCGCACGCAACGCTCTTCAACAACTCGACCATCGTTCGAGACGATTCTTTTGCTGTTCGGTGACAGGCGACGAACGGAGATGTCATGCGAAAGAAAAGTGACTTGTAAAAGTTGTGAAAGTGTTCGAGACGGAGATGAGTCGTTTAAGAGTCGTTTATTTGAATTATCGTTACATTCATTTATCGTACTTTGTCATTGTACGAAGTGCGTTTAACAGAAAAATTCTGCGAGTTTCGAGAAAGAAGAGAGTTATCAACTCTCGAAGAAGAGAATTATCAGCTCTCAAAGAAGAGAGTTACGAAATTTCGAAGAAAGAGAGTTATCAGCTCTCGAAGAAAAGGGTCACCGACTCTCAAAGAAGAGAGTTATCAGCTCTCGAAGAAAAGTGTTACCAACTCAGAAAGAAGAGAGTTATCAACTCCGAAAGAAAAGAGTTATCAACTCGTCTCTTTTCTTGCGAAGAGCCTCGCCGAGCCTGAGCTCGCGAGGCAGCGTCCACGATGACGAACATTCCCCAGGGGTGTACGGGCTGGTTCACGGTCGACGACGAAGAGTAGTTTTTCGTCGGCTGGCATGGAAGCAGGTGATTCCTCGGCCTAATTGAAGGGCGCCCAGTGTGCTTCGGTAACGTGTAATTATCGGGTAGAACGAGCCCGGGAATGTGCCGGTCGAAGCGAGAATAGAGACATTACTCCGCTGCTATCTTTACCCCGTGTGTTTTCTCTTCCGTTTCTTCGGGGCGAATAGAGAGGAGTTACCTGAATATCTCCGCCTGTCCCACTTTTCCCCTCCCTCGTTTCAGTTTCTCTTCGTCCATCAGTTTCACATCGTTGAATATGACACCGGTTTCAAGAGCAAAATCAAACTCACGATACTCTAACATTACCGACTACCGATTTCTTCACCGTGTATAATCAAATCCCCCCCCC